TTTCAAACATTCCAGTCCCCAAATTACTTTGTATATTTCAGATGCTGGTATTTTTTCCAATTTAAATTCAAGCAATTCTTGAATAATGTCATTAAGGCTTTGCCTGAGAATGTAATAACATGAAAATTAGTTTTCTTTCACTTTATTTTAATTTTATGTCCAGTAAGAATATTATATATGCAAACAGTGATATGAATAATCACATCTCACATATTATATTAGTGCCTGACCAGTAGTGGGACAAGAAAGAATTTCTCTCCATCCCCAACCATCCTGCTCCCATGCATGCCACCGACAAATTAGCACAGTTTTGGATCCAAATATTTTCAATTACTCTTCTCAAAAAATAGAATAATGTTCAACTTGTAGAAGAAATATTGAATTTGCGTCATTTGAAGGACATGATCTCCGTTTTGAAGAGTTACTTTTCTAAATCTTTAACAGGCGTTAAATAACTAGAAATGTATGACTGGGTCTCTGTTCTTTACAAAACTTGAGAATCGATTGTGTCCTTAAATGCCTCTATATCCCTTGCACTAGGCTGTCACTTTTAGCTAGCATTCTTATTTGAGTCTCTGTCCTAGAGGCTTAAAAAAAGAGAGACTCTTCTCATCTACTCATCTAAGCTTTGGAAGAAACTATGACAGCAGGTGAGGCTGTTGCAGAATTTGTTAAGTTGCAAGAACTCATATGGCATTACATTCAGAACCTGTTCAATAGGAGCACTTTTAATTTCTCTGAAATCAACTCTGATCAACAAGGACAATCATGATTTTATGTCTAAATTCATGGTTTATTTCTGTCTCAGGCACAATGTAAATATAATGAAAAAGTAAGATAGTTTTTCTTTCTAGTTGGTCAAATAAAATTATTTTCAAATTGCTTTGGAGGTATGGCAGTAAGCAGGGAAGGAGTAAAATCAAGTAATCACAACAGGTATGCAAGTACATGAATATTTCAATGATAGAATTTCCCTGTACTATCATTAAACATGAAATATTACAGTCTTAGATAAATATATTCAAAATGGAAAATAATGGTGTTTCAGGAAAAGTGTGGCAGATTTTGTGTCCCCAACAGAAGAGATAGTTGAAAAGATAGTAAACCAACTGTACTACTCACATGCATATGCTTGTCAAGATAACTTGTGGTGTTAAAGCGTGATGTTAAAAATTGAATTTAGATCCACAAAGCATATTGCTCCCCAAAAGGAAACAACACATAGTGAAGGTCACTTTATGCTACAATATTTGAGTTGTAGACATAGTAATAATTTAAGATATTTTATACTCTTTGAAAAAGTAAAATGTCCACACCATTAAGGGAAATGTGATTTCTCTTTGTTTATCCACAATATTTTTACTCAAATAATGTGTGCCTTCTGCATTTGTTTGCCGGCCACACCCTCCTACCATGAGATATTTTCATAGACACGCTATGCTACTTGTTTTTATAGCAAAATGTGGAAGAAGATTGGCATGATGGTGCTTTTTGAAGAGAAGGCAGCAGGGGTAACAATAAACAAGCACACACACATATACCCCACTCTGGGCTACATTGATTTAAGTCTTTGAACTACTATTCTTGGCTCTGCCCCCTGTCCAGCCACTTAACCTGTTTGACTTGTGGAAAGGCAGGGCCTTGCCATTCCCTCTTTGTCTTTAGCTTCTCCTGTCTCTTTCCCTGCAAGCACCAGGATAGAAACTGTATGTGTAGCTGTGCTTTAGAGCAGCCCACTTCTACAGCTCTTGACTAGAGTGTTGACTAGCAATGGACATACAGCCCCATTAGCTCTGCTGCGAGTAACTCAGATTTTACCAGAAATTGTTTCTTAAAAGGGTCAGGATCTCTTTCAGAACAAACCATTTGTAAGCATTAAATAGGAAACTGGATGAGGTTTTTAAAGAGATGTGAAGAGTTTCTACCATAGTTACTATCTCTCTTAGGAGAAAGAATACAACCTTACATTAAATCTCTTTTTAAATGGAGTACAGAGAAATCAATGTCTAAATTATTAGCCACAGGAGAAAACACAAAAATTGCCAAATCTTTAAATGCTTTATGATTACTTGAATATTATGCAAAAGTATCAGGATCACAAATATTCACCATGGCCCATATACTTGTTTGGCTGGGATATTAGATTTCTGTGTTTCTACTCTTCTTAATATAGTTAAATCTCATTTCTAAAATATGTCTATTGCATTACTAAAAGTGGTTATATATTCAGGTTTTCAATCAACTGGTTTACTTGGTTGGATTGACTATAAATTTGTTGACATATATTGATGATTCTTCATTTTCTTGCCCAGGGATCATTTCTTCTACTCATTTATTTTCAATCTCTCTACTTTCTTATTTGACAGTACTCCACCAGAAGCATAACAGAGCACTCCAAGTTTGGTATAAACTAATTAGCAGGTTTTTTTTAATGATGGAAACTATTCCCATCCCACATAATCAACCTGGTTTGATAATGAACTCATGAAATATCCTGCTCTGACCATGCTAAGGCTCTCATTTTGCCCTAGACTTCAGTTTATAATCGAGTATATGGTACAAACCTAGAAAGAAACTATTTGTATGGAATGAGGGACAGAGTTAAAAATGAAATAATCTAAAATACAGATTTTGAGTTGAACTTTTTTGTGCAAAATAGAAAGAAAATTCTTGATATTGTTTTGAAACTAACAGAGAGAAAATAGCCATAATAATATCAGTTAAAAAAATACTATGAAATCATGGTGTATAACTGAAGTGTAGGGACGTTACAGAAAAGTCCCCTGTATGCAGGTGTGCAGAAGCTCTGAAGGGTTACTGATGAACACTAAATAGAAGCATCCAATAGTTAGTTATGGGAGAATATCCAGAAATAAGAGTAAAAATCAGTGCTAGTTCATTACTTCAGCAGTGGGATCGACACACCCCACTGCTAAAGTCTCATTTAAACAACGGGTGCGCAGTTTGATCATTCTAGCTTGTAGCCCCCTGGCCCTGGCACAGAATGAGCCTAGTCTTCTCCCTGGGATTCATGAATGACCACAGACATCCCAAAGTACATCTGAACATCTAAATATCATGGTTGCCCCACATCCATTTTGGTCACATTTCCATATTGGAAATTTCACCCAATACTATCCACTTCAGTTTTAGTATATTTGCTTACTGAAGCTGTAATTTGCTACTGAAAATACCATGCCACAAAATTCCAAATTAGCCTGAAGGAATGAGTAAGAAACCAAATGAGACAGAGTTATAGATACTCTTCATCTTCTGTGTGGAAATGGTTCATTCAGTTTAATGGTAACTATATGGCATAATGGTTAAGAACTCAGCTACTGACCAAAAGGTTGGCAGTTCAAATCCACCAGCTGCTCCTTGGAAACCCTATGGGGCAGTTCTACTCTGTCCTGTAGGGTCTCTATCAGTTGGAATTGACTTGACGGCAACAGGTTTGGTTTTTTGGTATATCAATGATGAAATATTTTAATGCCAAAAAAGGATCACCTGTTGTCATAGCCAAAGAGCTACAGATAAAAAACAAATGAATGGCATCTCCAAGCTTTCTAGCACATTCATGGTAAAGACGTTAGCACTAATCTTGGTATGTAAATTGAAAAATTATCTATCTTCCTAATGTACATAAATATCCCCACACAAAAAAGCACTACACATATTTCACAATTTATTTCAAATGTTAATGCTTCGCAATGGTTCTTAGATCTTAAAATGTGTAGATATTTTACAGCTCTGCTTAAATATAAGTGATCTGTTTGTCTCTTTCACTAACACCAAAGATATTGTTTTTTCTCCTGATGAATATGCTCATCATCCATAAATTCCAGTAAAAAGGATAAGGATGAACTATAATAAAAGAATACCCTCATGGGCAAATAATAGAAAATAACTGATTTCATAAAAATGATACTTCATTCACATTCTCCAATTACTGCTAACCAGTTACTATGGTGTTTAAGAGTATATCTAGACTGAAGACAAGAAAAGTTCTATTTCTCATGTGTTGGGGGAGGAACTTCCAAGAACATCAAGTTTCAGATTATAAGTAAAACTTTAAAAAGGCTAAACTTTTTATTATAAAATAAACATATAAATAAATCAAAAAGACCACTTAGAGATATTGTTACAAATATGAACCAAACATACTGGGACCAACAAAGGTCAGAAAAACATGTTTAAATATCTTTACAGAAGCTTGAGAAACCAAATAAAACTTGTTCTTAATGACAGGGAAAAGTGTTCATTTTAGAGCACAGGTTTTTTTTTTTCTTTCTCATAAATTTAAATTTTACATAACATTGTTAACATAGGCCAAATAGTATGCATTGAAATATACTTATTCAGTATGTACTGTATGAATATCTGCATAAGTGATTCTAGAATAACTTTTGCTCTTCCAATGGCTTTATTTTGGCAATAAAAAAATGTATGGGTGCTAGTAAAATTTATGTTCACAGGAGATGAAAAAAACATCCCTGAAAGAATACATTTGCTGAAATTTGCATGCGATTTTGGAAAATGTCTGTTTAACAATTGAACGTAGTCATATTTTAACTTCTAAGCCCCCACATCAAGAAAGTATCAAGGTACTGGAGCAATTTATTCTTAGGGAAATTATGCTGGGCTTTGAAATTCAAAAAATAGGATACTTCTTCTTGGATTATTTTATGATCTATGTACAGTCTCTGCACAAGGAAAATTAAAGCTGTCTGATAACTCATAAAAACATCACTGGCTGTTGAAGATGTAGAAAATTGCCTAAAAGCATGAAAAGCACTGGGTAATTTTGCAGTTTCCTCTCTCAACACGATTGTAAAGATGTCTTTCAGTTCTTTCTCCCTCTTTCTTCTGAAGCATGGCCTTTTAGTGCTTGCCCTTTTAAATATCTTTGCCTACTGTAGCTTTGCTTCTTAATGTACGGCTTGATCCCACTGGGCTAAGAGAGTATTTACAGGGGTGCTTGCTTTTATCTGTATTCACAGAGAATGCTAACAAATTAGAAGAAAGTGCCAGAGAACACCACATACCTTGTCCAGAACATTACAATGGTTTCTGCATGCACGGAAAGTGCGAACATTCCATCAATATGCAGGAGCCATCTTGCAGGTAACATTTTCACTCTTTAACTATTTAAATGTATAAAGTTAAAAACGTAGAAACTGCAAATTGGTTGGCATTCTGCTTGAGTATGTGATCATCAACAAAACTTTTCTCTGCCTCTCCTGCGCACACACACACACACACACACAAAGCACACACAGGAAATCTACAAAATGTTTGTGTCTTATGCACTCAAATACTATGTAGCACATTATTACATATATCCTAGTAGAATTTGAAATCATACTTTGTGCATTAGAATCTCCTTAAAGGCACAGACTTCTCTGTATTGTTCACCACTCTTTCCCCTGAACCTACCTCAACCTAGAACAATGCTTGGCACCTATAAGGTGCTCAATAAACATTTCTCAAACAAATTAATGGATGGTGTCTTCCTGTACATCAGATAACATAGTTACCTTGAGGAGTTAATCTTTTCCTACATCCTTCTGATCTTCTAATAAGTATCATCCATCTTGGTTTTACCAAGTCCTCACTATTTTCTATGCATCTCCTATCCACAAGCCTTGTATAATGGATGGATTATTTACTATACCTCCACAGTCTCAAACTCAGTGGAGATGCAAAGAAATTGCTTGTCTGGATCTAGTCAATAAACAGAAATATTTGTTGAATTCATGGCTAGGATATAATTATTTCAGAAATGGTAAGAGCTAAAGTAAAAAAACAAATGTGTTTTTATTTAAATCAATATATTAGTGATGTAGGATGAAATAATGGGTTGTTACATAATGAATTATCTCTTTCTGTCTTCTCTCTCTTGCTGCCTCCTTTTCCCTCCCTGCCTCTTCCCCTCCCTGCCTCTCTACCTCTTTCCATCAATGTACCCCTCCCTCCCGCTCCCCACTTCTTTCCATGCCTGTCTCCCTTTCTCCCTCTCTTCTTGTCAAGATCTTCCTTTCATGTTTCCCTTCACTGAATCCTCTAGCACCTGCCTTCTAGAGAAGCCAGGGAAAGTGAACATAACTGAGGTTACTCCTGCTGCTTCTCAGCAGAGCTGCCATTGTTAAACTCTTCCTGCTGCAGAGAGGGAAGATCCCAGGATATAGTTATGAGATATTAAAAGGGAAGTCCTCAAATAGTTAGCAAAATCAATGACAAGTTGATTCCCTTCAATATTGTTTTGATAAGAGCAGTTTTCTCATTTTGTGGTCAGATGCTAATCTTCACATGCAGACTGTCTGCCTGAGCTTTTTGGGCAGGGATTAGTAAGAGGAATCTTTCATTTTCAGGTCAAGCTTTTGGTTAGCAGCCAAGCTGTTAACCACTGTGCCACCAGGGCTCCAAATAGCACATGGGTGTGTTTTTCAGAACTATATTGCCCATATCATAATTGCTTTTTTTCTAACAAAATTTAACTTTCTAACATCAGCAGATGACTTTATGACTGGTAAATTAAAGAAATGGCTCTTTTTTGTGCTACTGGTCACAATATTTTCAACATTTGTTCTGAGAATAGCACAGGAAATGTGTTATCCAATAAATAAATAAATAGCTGTAACTTTAATATCCATGTCATCAGAAACAAGCCTTTTCTCAGGCAATAATATTGACTTAGATTGATTAAAGAGCAAATTAAAACAAAAATGTAGGGCCCACCTAAAAAAATACAGGAAGAACCATTATTCCTAGACATCTATTGTCTTTTCTGTATTGTCATCAAAAACAAATTATTTACCAATCCTCCTATCTTCGAAATCCAGTATTATAAGTATAAAAAGAAACCACATATCTTCCAAACTAAAAATGCAAAGAAACCATGTTGAAAATACATAGTTAAGAACCTTACCAACAAAGTAGTATTGTTTTAAAGAGGGAGATAAAAAAAACAAAAACAAATAAAACCCTAATTCCCTGATGAAAATAAGCATCTGTTGGCTATCTATAAAAATTAATCCAGCAGCTACCAGTAAATGGACATTATATTTTCTTCCAGGTGTGATGCTGGTTATACTGGACAACACTGTGAAAAAAAGGACTACAGTGTTCTATACGTTGTTCCCGGTCCTGTAAGATTTCAGTATGTCTTAATCGCAGCTGTGATTGGAACAGTTCAGATTGCTGTCATCTGTGTGGTGGTCCTCTGCATCACAAGGTCAGTAACTGAACTCAGTGACAACTCAAATAAGGGGATATGTTGCTCTTTGTTGTTTTAATCAGATCACTCTGATTATGAGTCCCTTCATGGACTCCAACCATCCGTTCTCTGGGAGTCCTGTTTCCTCATCATAAGAGCATTTGAATAGACAAATGGAAAGATATTGATTTTCATGCTGGAGTGGCACAAATTATTTTCATTATTTCTGCATTATGATGAGGATTATTTATATTCTAAGCAAAGGTCATTTTTTTCCCTAACGTGTAATTCTAACCTTTGTTTAAATATGCTTTTCTGTTTTAACTATTAAAGGTCAGCCCAGTGGCATCACTAAGGTCTGTGTCACCCAGTGCAGTAAATCATGGTGTCACCCCCACCCATGCTAATTACCACAATATTGTAGCTAAAACACCAGAAGATTTGACAAAATCAGCGCGTATAAAAACACTGGTGGCAACAAAAACAACAGAGCATGCTTGTAGCGCATGCAGACAAAACCAAGTGATTCGAAACATCATTGTGATTGGCTAATAATGACAGCTCTGACCTGAGCGCATTAGAAGGTTCAAAACATAAATTAGCATAGAGTTTTAGCCTTGTAGGTATATTGATAAATGTAAGCTGGGCTTACAAAAAATGTTTTTGTTTTTATAACTAACTACAGGGATATTGTTATAAAAAATAATAAATTTCTGCTGAAACACTGCACAAAAATTTTATAGGCAGTCATTTTAGTGACACCCCCCTAACAGTGTCATCCAGCGCGATCCACATCCCCTGCACCTCCCTAGTGATGCCACTGGGTCAGCCTTCGGTCAAACTGCTAACAGACTATTTAAATGATCAGTTTCCTTACTTACTTTTTAAATTGGTATCCCAAATGAGGTCAGAGTAGATTTTATACAAGGCTTAGACAATTAAATTACATATTTCATTTCTGGCACTTATATTTCTAAATATAACTTTCAGGTATAATAATTTTCAACATATCTTGGTATCGAGAATAAATATATTCTTATCCTAAACGAAGATTAGAAAATAGCTTTTAATCACAAAATGCAAAGAAAATAGTTGTAATGAAAAAGATTGTTTTAGTAAATGAAAATCTTAGATATATGAAAACATGCAACAAATATCACAACAAAATTTTGTATCAAATTCCTAGTCTAATCAATCAGTAGCTGTTTTCCTGGAGAACTCAGCTGAGAAAGATTTGGAAATCTAATTGCGATTCAATAGGAAGGGAAACCCTGACTGACCGGTGAAGTCTGACATTGGGCTTAAAGAAGTGAGGCCAGATATTTGCTAAACTTCATTAGCATATAGACCTATAGCAACAAAGAATAAGATACTATTTATGTCTTGTATAACCAGAAAAATCATTGAAGATACTTTTTTCTGACTTGATTTCAGTCTCCTTTTAGAAGTTCTAAGGAAGTTTTTTCAAGGTTTTCACCAAATTCACCAAGCAAAACTCATTTAGACTTTCATTCATTTGTACAGCTCTACAGTAAATCAGAATGCTTCCCAAAAAAATTATTTTCAAAAGACAATAAAATAAAAGAAAGTATCATTTCTTTAGAAAATAAAGGATATAATACATCTCAGTATCATTGCACTATCTTCTTTGAGGACAATATGGATTTTGCTCTTAAAAAAGACAAAATACAGTTCATAAATCCCGCCTGGCCTAAAGGCTTAAGGGAAGATCAACGACTGGAGCTTTGTGCTGCTCTAAGCCCAGTTGGGTTCATCAACTCAACTCTCATGTTTAGATGCAAAGTGAGTCAGTGGATTATGTTAAAATAGATTCTGGGTAACATAACGATAACTCAAGAAATCAAAAATACTGAATATTAAACAAAAAGAAAATAATCTAAAACACAAGAAACTGCCCCACTATGAGTCTGAGTTTTCTAATATCTAGGTAATATTAGTACATGGAAAATGAAATTCGCATTTAATGGATATAATCTTAAAACAATAAGATTGCTACTTCATGTATGACAAAAATGCAAAGCTGTAAATACTTCAGATGTTTTCAAGTCTGCTGTTAATCACAGTTCCATCCACTAACCACTTTTCCATTCTTACCAGTTGCTGTCAATTCCAACTCACGGTGACCTCATGTGTGTCAGAGTAGAACTGTGTTCCACAGGGTTTTCAGTGGCTGATTTTTTGGAAGTAGATAGCCAGGCCTTTTTCCGAAGTGCCTCTGGGTGGACTCAAACCTCCAACCTTACGGTTAGCAGCTGAACGTGTTAAACATTTGCACCACCTAAGGACTCCAGTTCCACCCTTTCCACGCTAGAAATTGTATGCGCGTGTATGTGTGTATTTAACATGTTATTTAATAACATTATGAAGAGGTACAAGTATCCTCATATTCAAGATAGGAATCCTGAGATAGAAGTCAGCAATTTGCCAAGTTCACACATTGCTGAGCAGCAAGGGCAAAATTGTGTACCAGAAGCTATGCATGTAACCACCACTCATACTGCCTCTTGGCTGGTCATGTTTTTATATACCTGATACTTAAGACTACCTAAACTGGACTCCAAATTAGAATAAGCCATTTCTTTAAAGCATATGGCCTTTTTAGTTTTCCATGTTAAATTAACATACCCCCTATATGTTTTTAAGGAAGAGGAACAGCATATGAATTAAATTAGCATTATCATGATGCATTTTTAAAATCTTCCCTAGCATCTGCAAGCCTTCCAAAGGTTTTCCAGAAGTCATATTAGTGAATAAACCACACCAACACCCAATGTAGACTCATTCCATTTACTTGACAACTTTCTGCTCAGAAACCAGATTTTCCAACCCCGAAAAGTTGAAGTTTTTCTCTCTCCTCTCTCCCCAGGAAATTCTAGTTTCCTGATGACCGGGCCACACTTATCCACCAAAATCGATTCTAAAATACCCAGTTGCAAAAAAAGTTTACAAAATCACACCAAGCAGAGGCCCCTTTATGCTCTTTCATTTGCTTTTAATCTCCTTCTCACTCATTCTCTGCTCTTTTCTAGCCCTCTTTACTTTCTCTTCTCCTCCTGCCACTTTTTTTTCCCTAATTCCATCTATCCCCTTGTTGTTCTTTACTCTTTTAGTCAAACACAGGTCTTCCTTCTAAACACAATGTGTGTCACAAAAAATGTGAACATCCAGAGACATGTTCTGGAATAAAGAGAGCTACCTTGTTAAGAAGCTGGATTGCAGAACTTTTTATCTGCGGCTTGCTGGGATTATGATTCCTAGCTCCATGTTCATTTTGACGGATCTACAAATAAACAAACAAACAAAAAATCTTTATTCACACAGAAACACACACATTTTCCCATATCCCACAGCTTGTTGTAATAGGATTTTATATGAACTTACATTGTTATTCTTGTTTACATAGTCAAAGCATTCTTTTGTTACAAGAGAAAAAATTACTGTATCAGAGCTTTTTAGAGAATTTGACTGAATTTTAGCTTTTTATAGAAGCTAAATAATTGGTACCAATTTATGTCTCTAACTTACAGTATTAGTGTACTAAAATGATATAAGCTGAATCAAAAACAATATCCCTTTCCATTACATCTCAGATATTAACAAACTGGCTCCTTCTCTAGTTTGATAGCATTTAAACTTGTAGCAATGAAATGCCAATATAACATTCGTCCTTAAGACATTTAAAATATAAAATTGTTGAAGACCTTTAAAGTGAGTTTAGATGAGCCCACAACTTGCTTGATTGCACTGAGCTGAGTCATTCTTTGTGCTTAATGAGTAAACAGTAGAGGACAAGGTAAATGTATTCCTCGCAACTTCTGCCTCTGTTCTTCAATTCTCAACAGATGCTTAAAGACGACTGCAAGGAGAAGCAAAAAATAACTTTTCTACTACTAATGAATTCTGAATATTTTAATAATTTACTTAATCCACAGCTCCACTGTCATAGGATCAAACTAGGTAATAGCACTGGACTAAGATTTGTAAACTTTCCGACCTTCCAGGAAATGCCCCAGAAGCAACAGAATTCACAGACAGAAGCAAAATACAGGACACTACAGTTCAGACAACACAACAAGAGCATCCACGAGGTTAATCTAAAGGGAGCATGTTTCCACAGTGGCCGGACTACCGACAGTTTGGACTACACAATACAGTATTATAGACAAAAGAATAAGACGAGATCTACACATGTTGCCTTGCATTTGTGGTAATCTACACCAATGAAAACATGTACTACAGCTATATTTGATTATGTATGGATATATTTGAAATAGTATACATTGTCTTGATGTTTTTCTGTAATGTAAATAAACTATTTATATCACACAATATAGTTTTTTCTTTCCCATGTATTTGTTATATATAATAAATACTCAGTGATGAGAAAAAATTGGCATTCTTAAATTTGCGATATCTCATAACTGTAAATATAATCACGCTAGTACAATCTGTACAGGTGCCAGTATTTCATCTTTCTCCACATCTTGAGACAGAACATTAGTTTATACAGGACTCGATGGCTAGGTTTTGAGTGATTCCAAGATCAAGGGAAATGATGGTTATTGGAAAAGAGAAAAAATAATTTACTTTATATCGAGTGAGGATAAAATATTTCAGATCTTTGAATCATCTCTATTTCATCAACTTTCTTCCCTAGTCTTCCGTTGTCATCCCCAGAGCAGAAAAATCTCTGGCATATAAATTAAATCAAAGAAGAAGGGTGGGGGGAGTGTTTTATAACTCATAAAGGAGAGGGAGAGAAGATATTGGTTTTTATTTGGGAAGCAGTTTAGAATCTCCAGTAAAGAATATATATCCAAAGGGTTCTTGAGCAAGGTACACCTCAGAGTGGCAAAATTTATTCCACTTAGGGGAGTGAAATTAACAACTAAGGGAAAAAATAAAGTCATTAAATTTGAAACATCAAGATAATGAATTCTTAGAAGAACCTTGCTATATTTACAGTATGTGGTTCTTGGAAAAGAAGTTAGAATCACAACTAAATACCTCATGAATAGCTTTATGGCACCATTACTTGAAATGGAACTAAGATGATGCTAGTATTTCTTGAAAACAGAGAAACTTGTTGTAAGTGTATTTATATGATGAAATAAGAAAGAAAAGTAACCCCATAGCATCAGAAAAACCGTAGTGGAAGTTGGTTTGGATTTTTATTTGTTCAATTTAAACATACAAATAGGTTTAATCACTTTGTTTAGAAAAAAAACTGTGAAAATTCTCAAAGAATAGTTGAAATAAGGTGAAAATAACCGATGAAATAATTGCCTTATATCATTTACCTCTGTGTAGCTTTTCATGGCTAATACAGTAAATCTAAATAAAGTTCTTTTTGTCTCCTTCAAATGACCTCTGCATGCGCTGAAAGGACTTAACACTGCTGTGTCCAAAAAAAAAATGATAATAATAAGACATGAATATCAAATCAACACTTTCTGAATATTAAATATTCAGTGAAAAGTAAGTTTCCTGAAGTGATATTTAAGATATTTGTTAAAACATAAATAAAGGTGACAATCTAACTAGGATTTAGGACTGTGAAGAACCTGGTTTTCTGGGTTAGTCATCACTTGGAAAAGTGTGAATTTATTGGCATAATCATTACTCGAATATTTCCACAAATAGGTCTTATGCTATGTGTACAAGACAGATTATTTTTAAATTTCTGTATGGAAGTTTAGTTTGGTTAACAGGTGCGGAGCTGCTGTCCTTCGTGAGACAATGATAGTGGTAAACAATCCTTCTTCCTCCTAAAAGAAGAACAAAAAATGCAGCATCCCAGAGCTTCATGGAGTTTGAAAGAAACAGTCCCACTGACTTTTACTCTGAAATGATTTGCTTCATTAGATATTTATGCATTACTTTACAGGAATTTTAATCAAAGGATCATGTAACCTTAGTGTTGCAAAAGTCCCTGGAATTAGTAATACCATATACTCTTGTTAACCTCCATTCTCAACCATCCTGTGAAAGAATCCCTTTTAAAAAATGCATTCAACAAATCTTAAGTGAGCATATACTATGTGTCAGGCACTATTCATGGTCCTAGAGAAACAGAAATAAAATATGGTCTCTACACTAAAGGAACTCACTGTCTAGTGCCAAAAGACACCATCTAGCCTCTACTTGCTTATTTCTAATAATTTGGAATCAAAGCCCTTTTACTCTTGGACAATTCTGATTTTGAGACAACTCTTCCTTATATTAATTTGAAATATACTTCCTTGTGGTTTATACTCATTGCTCTTATTTTTCTTTCTGGAATAAAGAAATAATGACTGAAGTAGTTATAAATATAAAGACAGCATGTTTTTCCACTCCCCTCCCGGCCTTTTTGCAAGGATTTTCTCCTCCAGGAGAAGCATCCTTAATTTCCTCAACTCTTCTGCATATTATATGGTTTGCATACTTCTCTAGTATCTGTATCATTCTTCCTTGGGCAAACTCTACATTGTTAATGTATTTCTTTAAGTGTGAAGCTCAGAATTGCAGTCTGCTGCAGGTACGGTCTGACCAGCACAGAATATAGTAGAATTTATAGAAAGCAAATTTAACTGAGTCATTAGAACTAAAATCCAAGTCGTATTTTAACAACACATTTGCTATGGGATCTTGAGCAAGTCACTTCATATCTCAAGTTTCAATTTCCTCATCCATAAGATTACTTGTAGCTCTGTAATTCTGAGACATGATTTATTCAGAATCCAGACAGTATACTACCCCAAGACCACATTAATTTGCTACCCAAAGATCACATTAATTGTTTTTGCAGCTTGTCCTCAACTTAAACTCAAATAACTCTTAAATGAACTGCTAGTAGGCCATGTCATTCATTCATCCATCCACTAATTCATTATACATATACTGAGGGCTACTGATTACCAGCACCATGCTAGGCTATGAGAAGACAAGGATAAATAAGGCAGAATCCCTGCCTGAAAGGAACTCGCTATCCGATCAGCCTGGTTCCTTGCATCAAAGATCTTCAGCCCTGTGGGGAGACTGAGAATTAAATACAAATTATAAAGAATGTAAGAAAGGCTGTAATCATGATCAATTCAGAGTGCCTGGAACCCTGAAGGAGGAACCTCTGGACTGGGTAGGTGCTCCGCTTCACAGAAGGATAAACACAATGACTGCATCATTCTCCACACACACTGACTTATTGCTTCTGAAATTTTATACACACTCCTCCTGCTCTCGTCACACCCTTCTTTTCTTGATAATACCCAAGGCAAATATCAATTTATTGGTGAAGCTTCTGTGACTCCCCTGGTAATCTTCCTAATTCTATGGCACTTTCCATATTGTTCCTTAACTGTCCATGCAGGTCTGTCAATTCTTTAGCCTGGGTGCAATGAGAAGGCAGATATTGGTGCCTTGCTGAGTGTTTCCATTGATTCAGCAAACACGTACTGGATGCCTACGCCATGCCAGACACTATTCTAGGGGCTGTGACAGCAATGAAGTAGATAAACAGGTCTCTGCTCTGTGGCTTGCATTCTAGTGAAGGAAAGTGAGTGTGGTGGGTGAGGGGAGACAAACAATAAACAGACAAAAAAAAAACAGAAAGTTATAAAATAATTAAAAATAGAATGAGGTAATTCAGGGTGACTTGATGGTAGTGGGATTGGGTACCTTCAGGAAGAATGTGGTATTTAAAGTTTGGCCTCTGAAGCAAAACAAATATGGTTCCCAGTCAAAGCTCCACTTTACCAACTACTTAACCTTGGGCAAGTTGCCCAGTTTCTTTATGCCTAATATCTAAAATGGTGAGAAAAATGTCTTTCCATACCCAATATAACTGGCGTGAAAAATAAACGAGACAATCCACAATAAATGCCTAGACCAGTGACATGGACAGTCAACTTTCAATGTATGTTAACAATAGTTTTTATAGGGATAGAATAAATATTTATTGTAAAAGGAGATAAATAAGAAAAACAATATTCTATTAGTTAAATAATGCATAAAGGGAATTACATGGTCATAAGGAAAAGGAGTCAGCAATCATGCTTCTCAAAGGAGTGTCCCTTGCATCTTTGGAGACAGGAGAGCTGGTTTTGGTTCTGCAAAATAAGGCAATATGGAGTTCCTCTAGAGTTTTTCAGGTGAGTCCACTGGCACTGCGTGTGAATAAGAGAAAGAATCATTCTTCCATCTTTAGAGCGGTCTATCCTGGTAAAGCACAGTTAAGCCTCTTGTGTGTTTCCAGGCGCAAGATGAGTGAGTCAATACTTCAGGTCTTTGCAGAGCCAAATTCTTGACTTTCACAAATCCTTGAGAAGTCAGAGCAGACTACTGAAATATGACAGAGATTATATCAAAGTCATATTAGACTCTACTAATGTTTATCTTCAGTTGCTACTTCCCTTTTCCAAAGTCGTGCAGCACCTGTAAAAAAAAAAGTTGTCTTCCAGTCAGTTCCAACTCACGGCAACCCCATGTGTTGTAGAGTAGAACTGTTCCATAGGTTTTTCAAGGTCGTGACTTTTTGGAAACAGATTGCCAGACCTTTCTTCTGAGGTGCCTCTGGATGAGTTCAAACTGTCAACCTTCTGGTTAGTAGTCAATCTCAACTGTTTGTGTCACCCAGGGTCTCCTTGCACCACTTGTACTGTCCCCCAATTACAGTATAGACTTCAGTAAAATTAATCAGCTGGATATTGATAATAAAATTTTTCACTGAATTAATTGGTGTGCTCTATATGAGCATCCACATTATATGAAGAGTAACTATAAAGTAATAAGATTAGTTTTATAACCAATATATAAATATACAAATGAATGTGACCCTTTGAAATCACCATAGGGAAGACAAGTGTGATATGTGGTCCACCAGTCACATTCAGACCTCCTTCCAGCCTTGCTATGGATGGAAATCTACTTTACTGCTTCACCCAGTCTGGGCATTGGGACCTTGAATGATACCTATCTCCAGTAATACCTTAAAAAGTTATTTTACCTTGAGTTTTTTGTTTACTTTTAACTTATTAATTTAATCTTCATTATTTCTTTTGCAGCAAGTAAGAGGTGAAGGAAATAATGCTTTTCTCAATTTTCCATACCAAATTTAATCCAACACAAGAACCTAACTCAGAGTTAATGAGAAGTCTAAAATCAAGTATTATAATGGAGAGAGGAGGGGACAGGACAGAGTTCTGGCCCTCTGTTCCTAATGATTCCTTTGCCATTGCTACACCTTCTAGCCCTTCTGATCCATCAAAGGCACTCCTTCCACATCAGGCTTTGCCACAGAGATTTCTCTGAGGCAGCAGCTCTCACACAGCCAGCCCATTTCTAGCTCTTGTTCCCTCAGCAGGGTACAGTTGAGAAGGAGTGGGAGCCAACTCTAAGGCAACTAATAGCAACAATAGCAATGTTCTACCACTCTGTGAACATCTCTCCTCCCGGGCTTCCTCCCATTCTCAAGAGATACAGCCACCTCCCAGATTCCGGTCTTTTTCCTCACCTCATAAAGTATCCAACCTCTGTTGCTGCTCTTCTCTGGTACAATCTGACTTAATTCTCCTCCATGGACCTAGATCTTGGAAACAAAGGCCTTTTTATGAATCCAGCTGTGCAAACAAAGCACAGAGCAATGTCTCGAATTGTCAGAATGCATCACATTATTAATAAATATATTACATAAGTAATATTTGATTAAACAATAAAATTAGGAAGTACAGATAAACCAAAAACAAAACATAATCCCACCATCAAGAGATAACCACTACAGGGTCTATATATATTCTTTCAGAAAATATCTAGGAATACATGCTGAGAGTTTTTTAAGGCATTAAAATAATTTCATAACAACTGAATCTTCATAAAGAATAAGTTCTAAAGGTTAATAAACAGTCATTTAATCATAATTTATCAAGCTATAAATATATACAGTGTGGTTCTTGGGTAAGTTTCAATCTCTCTCAGTAAGGAATCAGTGAGACCTTTAAAGAGTTTAGCTGAAAATAATCTCTAGCTCTTCCCGTTGGCATCTTTATCTTTCTTGTCCCCATATCACTCAGTTACCACCATCTCATATACTACTTTGAAGAGGCCCTTTCTACTCTCAGAGCTTTCACACCAGTTGCAGGACATTCTCAGTCTCACAAGTCTGCAACTGTCCAGAGTTTACCCTCTAAGTTTGGGGACCTCACCTACAGAGTGTCTCCCTAATTGTCCTTGTGCCTAACTTGTTTCTGCCTGGTGCTAAAGACACCAAAGCAGCCTTACCCTCCACTCACCTTGAGAATGTTTTGTTTCTTTGCAGTCTGTGAAGGCCTCTCACTGATCCCTGGGGCTAGAGAAGCCTTAGGTTTTGCCATTTAACCATCTCATGCCCA